GGTAACCAATCAGAGCGCGTTACCTCGACTGAGCGTCTCCACCTGTTGGCGGCGTTCTTCCAGATGTTTCTCCTTCTCATCCAAGACTCGCTGCAGCTCTGACACACAAACAACATCATCAGCCAATCAGCTGAGAGCAGCCAGCTGACCGTCCCCTTCGGCTCATCTGATTGGTTACTTACCTCCCACCTCCATCTCCCGCTGCCTCCTCCTCTCCTCGCTGTCCTGAAACGCTGCTTGTAGGGCGTCGCCTTCTGAATCGAGCTCCGCCCTCAGGCTCTCCAGCTGGTGGGAGACCTCTGCTCTCTGATTGGCCAGCTCCTCTCTGAGCTCAGCGCACCTGTTCTCGCTGCAGGAGGAGAAGACGAGTTTTAACCTCTGTTTATGGATCGATAAAACCTGATTGGTGGCAATATCGATCACCTGAGCGTAAGCTCCGCCTCCAGCCGCCGCTTGTCTGTCTGCAGCTCTTCGATCTGTTGGGACTTCTGAGCCGAGCGCTGGAGCGCCGCCTTGCTCTCCTTCTTCAGCTCCTCCATGGCGGCGTGGAAAACGCTGCTGCTGCTCCGCCCCTCCTCCTCCTGAAAACATCAGCCAGTGAGTCATCACGAACACGATCCAGGATCAACCAACCGGCTTTCACAAAAAAAAGAGAACCTTCACTTCCTGTCGAAGGCGCTCCAGTTCCTGTGTCAGACTGCTGATGGAGTCGTTCTTCTCCTCTGACTGGTGCTCCAGGTCGTGGAGGCGGGTCTTTGTGGCTTTGAACTGCTCTGATAGGCTGTCGGATCTGTCAGTCTGCTGTTTGAGCTGCACCTGCAGGCTGGTCACCTGGAGGGATGCAAAGACCGTCAGCAGAAGAAGAAGGAGGAGGAGGAAAAGGAGAAGAAGAAGAAGCAGAAGACCTCCGTCTGCAGCTGGAAGATCCCGTTCACCAGAGCTTTGTTCTCCTTCTGCAGTCTGGACGCCTCCCTCTGCTCCGCCTCCAGAGACACCAACACAGTGTCACAGTTTGGACACCCGTCCAGGTCTACAGCAGGGCAGAAAGGGGAGGAGTCAGGGGAGGAGTCAGGAGACAAAGTGAGACACGTTCAGTGTTTCTCTGTGATGAACAAAAGTATGTGGACGTGTGTGCAGCATATGCTGATGTTCCTGTCTACATACTTCTGAGCGCCAGCAGCTGCTCCTCCAGCAGCACCTGCTCCTTTTTCAGCCCCTCCACCTCCGCCACCCGGCTCCTCAGCTCCTCCTCCAGCCTCGCCTTCTCTTGCTGCAGCTCCTCCTCCCTCCCTCTGAGCTCCACGATGGCCTCGTTCTTTCTGTCATTTTCCTCCTGCAGCCTCCAGATCTCCTCCTCCAGGACCACTGAGGAGGATGATGATAGGAGCATGAAGGTTCAGCACAAGCGCTCCATGTTTCCCCCCCTCCTCTCCCCTCACCTCTCCTGTTTGCTCCTCGCTGCTTCTCGTCCTCC